GTACATTAACTCACGAGTATTTTGTTATGGGTTATCTTTTTGTTGAATATGAGCCCACTGCTATGTAGCTTTTTCACACAAACCATCCTGTATGTCCAATTTGGGTTTCTTTAAAGTGGAATAGGAAATTAGTTACTATTGAAGCAATCTGATTGTATGATTTTTCTAGTTGGTAACTTCTTCTCTCTTCTACTGTTCTACAATTTTCTTTCCCCACAGTTAAATCATGAGTGGTTTTTTTTTTTTTTTTTTTTCCCCTAACAACTTGCTTTTGTAGAGTCTGGAATCTTTAATTTCCAAAGGAATAGTAACTCATTTCAATGGTTTATATAATATTTCTTTAAGTTATGTGACATGTGTAACTGAAATAAACAGATCTGTGATCAAACACAGTTGATTCTTAATAAGTAAATGGTTCATCTGATAGGAGCAGAAGTGTACAAGCATGCAGGGTGCTTTAAGCATTCACATTGCTTATAGTGCACTGGGAAGACCAAGTGTGTGTTTCTGATTGCTCATGGCTAAATTATTTTGAAATTTCTTCATGAGCAATTTTTAACACCTCATCATGCTGCCCATTTTTCTTCTGTAAGAGTACTGGTCTTCCTAGTTTAGAGTAGAAAGGAGTAGAAAGCCTTTCTGACTATTAAAGTCTCAGGTATCTATTGTTGTCCTGGGGAAAAATATATATGAAACCATTAAAAAAAAATGAGTAAAGAGTGAAAAGCAGCTGCTTAACTATAAATATGGTATAGGCATAAAAAATAATGGGAGAAGCTTAATTTTGCTCTCCTTTAGTGTGGTCTGGGCTTAGTGACTCCTAAGGAACAGAGTATACAGGCACACCTTGGAGATACTGTGGATTTGGCTCCAGACCACTGCAGTAAAAGTGAATATTGCAATAAAGTGAGTCACACACATTTTTTGGTTTCCCAGTGCATATAAAAGTTATGTTTACACTATACTGTAGTCTATTAAGTGTGTAATAGCATTATGAAAAAGTTTGAAATATTGTGAAAATTATCAAAATGTGACACAGACATAAAGTGAGCACATGCTGTTAGTAAAATGGCACTAATAGGCTTGCTTGAGGCAGCATTGCCACAAATCTTCAGTTTGTGGGGAGAAAAAAAAACAGTATCTGCAACATGCAATAAAGCAAAGCACAATACAATGAGTTGTGCTTGTACAGTGGGAGGAATAGTAATTTTAATTAGTGGGAAAACCTGGCAGATACCACCTTAACCAAGTGATCGAGGTTAATGTCACTAGAGTTAGATATTGAGATAATGTACCCTTTGATATTATGTGATAAGAAGAGCACCTCACTTTTATGGTATTCTTCCCCAAAACTCATAACCCTAGTCTAGTCATTAGAAA